TAAAACCCCAAAACAATGAGGTTCTATGTAGAGGAGAAACAGAACTGCGTGACTCGGGGAGGACCAAAATTTAGTTCTCAAATATGACTTGATTAAATACCTATAAACAAAATCATACAAATCCTTAACCCCTTAAGGACACATGAAATGTGTGACATGTCATGATTCCCTTTTATTCCAGAATGGTCCATGTCCCATTTTGGGTCAAACTCTGAGGCACCGTGTCACCTCTGAATCCGCTGTCAGAATTCTCAAAGCCTCCTCGGCACTGAACTTCCTAAGCATTTTGAACTTTTTACACAAGAACTTTAACAAAACAATGTTATAATATTTTTTTTGTGGGGGTTTTTTTATTTCTATTTTTACCCCTAGCATACACACTAAACTCCCCAATTTCCCATGAACTATCATCCACCCCAATTAACTAAATACAAGTAAAAAAAAAATAATTTTATATTTATATATATATATATATATATATATATATATATATATATAGTCAGCGGTCAGATAACAGAAGAACTACAACAAAATATTCATTGTATTGAGAATTTATTGGCCCTGAGTATGAAATACATTAATGCAGTTCCCAATACAAAGGCAGGGCTGTGAGGGACAATCAGGGCAGTAGAAACTGGTCTCCATTCGAATGCCCCTCTGGTAACACATCCTGCACCTTTTCCGGGGGGTTGATGGTATCCGAAAGCAGAAGAACTGTCTGAATATCTCTGCTGCTAGGCCCTGCTGATGGCTCCCCACTGTGGCACTCAGTGAGCAGCACAGGAATGAGCTGAAACTGAAATGTAAGAAAATTACATTTCAGCTGAGGATTTGCCTTTTTGAAAAGGATGTATGCATTGTGAGTAGCCATTTGCATTAAATAAATGCCCACTTTCTTATACCAGGCTCTGGTCTTTCTCATTATCAGATATGGCTGCAGCAGTTGATCAGACAGGTCAACTCCCCCCATGTGCTTATTGTACTGCTTAATGCAGACAGGCAGCCGTCTTGTTTCCTCTCTGCCACGAACTGCGACCCTGCGTGTGTGTTCACTGTGCATGGTAGTCAGTATGAACACCTCCTTTTGGCCTCTGTATTTCAGAGCCAGCAGTTAGTCCTGGCAGAGAGCAGCCGTTTCACGCTTTTAATTTTTTTCTCTGCCAGTGCGTGTCTTGCGAATAGTTCTGCAGACCACAGTCTCAAAACAAAATATCATTTTTTGGAGGGGTATGCTATTATAATAATTATCAAGGTAGAGGTGGTACCCCTTGTTCAGTAGCGGGTTCATTAGATCCCAAACTATTTTTCCGCTAGTCCCCACTACATCAGGGCAACCTGGGGGATCCTGGTGGCTATCTTTACCTTCATATACTCTGAAGGTATAAACATACCCACTGCTACTTTCACATAACTTGTATAGCTTGATGCCATACCGGGATCTTTTGGCTGGGATGTATTGCTTGAACCCCAGTCTACCCTTGTACTTCATGAGGGACTCGTCTATGAATATAGTCTTTTGTGGAGTATAAATTGTGCCAAATTCTTTCTTTAAATGGTTAATTAGGGGGCGAATTTTATATAGTTTATCATACTACGGATGGTTTCTTGGGTGGCACTTTGAATTGTCATGGTCTGGGAGAAAAAGGGGGTATTGCACACTGGGTTTTTGGACCAGTACATTCGTATACTGGGCTTTTTTATAATTCCAATTAGCATGGTTAGTGCCCAGAACGGTTTTAATTCTGGCACACTGGTGGGGTACCAGCTCCCTTTTGTGGCAAGGTGACTTGCTGCATTTTGTTCCAGATACTGTGCTGCATAAGGATTTGTCTGTGTAACAAACTGCCCTAAAAATTAATCCCCAAGGAACAGCTCCAGAAAATCCTGGGAGCTATAGCTGGTCACGTCTGCCTGAATACCAGGAGTGGCATTGAACATAGAGATGTCGGGTACAAAATTGTTAGGGGGCACCCAGTTATCAGCGCCAGGAGCAGTGCCAGGGGTATTGTCACTTTCTTCATCTGTGTCTGGCACAGTCACCCGCTGCACTATCTGAGACAGTGTCCGTTGCTGCCGAGTCGGACGCTAATATATTATATGCCTCCTCGGCACTAAACCTTCTAAGCATGGTGAAAGCTTAAAATTTACTTTAACTAAATAACATATTTTTTTTTTAGTTTTTAAAAACTTGAATACTTTTTTGCTTTCTGAAATTTAATACTTTTAAAAAACTTTTTAAAAACTTTTAAAAACTTCTTTAAAAAAAAATTAACCCCTGCAGGTAAAAACAGGCGCTCCGAACTCTGTCACAACGATCACATGTGCTGGGACAGCGCTATTGGCTGTTGCTGGTCTTCCTCAAAGGCCTTGGCACCCAGCAACAGGGTTAACCCCACGATCGCCACGATTGCGGCGATCTGGCGTTAACATTAGTAACTGATGGAAATTTTCCGTCAAGCGTCCTTAAGGGTAGGCCTGCCTTGACGGAAAAGTCAGTATCCTACTTCTAAAAATGCTGTACTGCTTTGAGACTGTGGCCTGTGGCACTATTCGGAAGAGTCGCACAGGTTTCCCAAAGGCTCTAGCAGAAAAAAAAATAAAAAGGGGGGAAACAGCAGCTCTCTGCCAGAATGAACACTGCTGGCACTCAAGTACCGTGATAAAAAGGAGGTGTTCATCCTAACCACCATCCATGGTGAATGAACTTGCAGGGTTGCAGTTCGGGGCAGAGAGAAAATTAAACGGGTGCCAGTCTGCATAATAGTCTTGCTCCATATGTTCCTGAGTTGGGTGACCTTCAGACATATCAGCAACAGATGATGCTTTAACCTCCACACTGCCTGAGTGGATTTTTTGAAGCAGATAGAGGACGGAACATTAGTTACCACACTTGTAGGGAGAAGGATCCCTCACAAATATCCCACAAGCGTTAATATTGAGCCCTATTCATCCGTCTCTCCTTGTGAGTACCTAATCATGAAACTGCTATTTAGTTACCCATTTACTTTATGATGTTGCACTAGATGCTTGTCAATATTTTGTTTTCACAGTGCACTTTACTGTACCCTTGTACACCATTTTACATTCTGTACCCAAAAACCAAAGATACTCCACCTATTGTGTATGTATATGTTCATTTGCTTTTGTGTGGGTAGAGAAGTTACAACACAGGTGTTTAGAGTAACTTGGTTAATATTTGTGTTGCACACTTACACTCTGTATTTATATTTTTCCTGCATAACACATCACAATCGGCATATGGGGGAGTTGACCTGTGGATCAACTGATGCAGCCGTATTTGATCATGCGAAAGACCAGGGCATGGTATAAAAAAGTGGGCATATATATAATGCAGACGGCAATCCACAAAGCCTTTGTAATTTTTAAAAAGGCAATTGCTGAGCTGAAATGCACGTTTCTATCATTTCAGTCTCAGCTCATTTCTGGGTTGCTTGAGTGCCACAAAGGGGGTCACTTCTGCTTTAGGATTCCATCAACCCCCCAAATCGAAACCCCCCCCCCAGAAAAGGTGCAGGGTATGTTACAAGAGGGGCGTAAGAGCTGAGACCAGTTATTACTGCCCTGATTGCCCCTCTCAGCTGGGCCTATGTATTGGCCACTGTTTTAAAATTTTCCACACCCGAATAAGTAGACCAGCTTTGGGGTGTGATTTTAATCATCTGTCTGATTGTTTGGTTACTGAATCTTGGCTTTGTCTCCCGTTTATCCTGTGTTCTCTGATCCTTGACCTCAGCTTGACCAATCGTTGTTCCGTTTCTCTTTACTCCTTTGACCTCAGCTTGTAACTTGACTTCTCCAAGTGTGTGTCAAAAAGGCAGACAAAATGCTAATTGCTACTAGACTTGGTACAAACTTGCAAAAAAAATGACCCTATGCTAAGGTTTAAAATATGCCTTTTTAAAATACCCTGTGGTGTCTACTTTAAGAAATGGTATGCCTTTGTGGGGTAGTTTGAATTAAAAACCTTCTAAGATGCTCAAAAATTGCACATGGGCCCAACGTCAAAATTCAAAGTTCGGTAAAAATGGATATGGCTTGGTCTCCAATGTAACCCCCTAAACATCCACATATCCCTGAAAAAGGTACACATGGGGGTATTGTTGTACTAAGACGACCTAGCTGAGCAACATATTAGGTGTTATACTGCCCTAGCACACATAAGGATTACAAAATATACAGTAACATCTCCAGTGTTTTTAAAAGGCAGAAAAAAATGCTAATTGCTACTAGACTTGGTACAAACCAGCAAAAAAATTATCCTACGCCAAGGTTTAAAATATGCCTTTTGAAATACCCTGGAGTGTCTACCTTTAAAATGGTAGGCCTCTGTGGGTTTTTTTTTTTGAACAGCCAAACTGCTATAATACCCCATATTGAAACATAGGCCTATCCAATCAGTCGTAGGTAAAGAAGTGCTATAATTGAGTTTATTATGTTCAATTCTTAAATGTATAGTTATATAACTTAATATGTGAGATTATGATTTGATAAAAAGAATATATTACATCATATAGTCAATCGCTATTTACACAAATAACCTCCATAGGTGTTATATAAATAAATAATTAATGTATAAACACAGTTGTAAGTATTTCTGTTTGCAAAACTAAGGAGAACCTATCCATATGGATAATAGTCGAATCTGTGGTGTTCTATGTACATAGAAAAAAGAAAAAAGAAAAAAGAGAAAAAAGAAGAAAAACTGAAAAAAATTTACAAAAATGATGAAAAAATTGAAAAAATATGTAAAAAATATACAGATAATAAATGTCCTGATGTACAATAGTCCAGAGAATAGTGCACTTTTAGATAATAAATAGGTGGATCTCACCAAGTTGGATATCCAGATGGATTGTAGCCTTAGTAGCAACTGGAAAAAATGAAGACTCTGTGAAGAATGGAAAAGTATCTATTGGAGGGTTTTTAAACCTGCTGAATTCCTGCTGTGCGTTGAAAAGAGGACTCAATGAAGGTGTCAGATGTGATCCTCGTATGTCTCCCTCAAGGTGTCGTCACAGTACTTGGCGACACCTTGAGGGAGACATACGAGGATCACATCTGACACCTTCATTGAGTCCTCTTTTCAACGCACAGCAGGAAAGGCTACTAAGGCTACAATCCATCTGGATATCCAACTTGGTGAGATCCACCTATTTATTATCTAAAAGTGCACTATTCTCTGGACTATTGTACATCAGGACATTTATTATCTGTATATTTTTTACATATTTTTTCAATTTTTTCATCATTTTTGTAAATTTTTTTCAGTTTTTCTTCTTTTTTCTCTTTTTTTCTTTTTTCTTTTTTCTATGTACATAGAACACCACAGATTCGACTATTATCCATATGGATAGGTTCTCCTTAGTTTTGCAAACAGAAATACTTACAACTGTGTTTATACATTAATTATTTATTTATATAACACCTATGGAGGTTATTTGTGTAAATAGCGATTGACTATATGATGTAATATATTCTTTTTATCAAATCATAATCTTACATATTAAGTTATATAACTATACATTTAAGAATTGAACATAATAAACTCAATTATAGCACTTCTTTACCTACGGTTGATTATTTTACAACATTGAGTGCGGTATTCATATATATTTTTTGTATGATATTTTTGGGGCTTTTGTAGGGATAACCTCGAATACCAGCACCACCTATGTGATTGAGTGCCAGCATAAATTATCTTTTTCTATCCAATCAGTCTCTCAAAATTCTACTGTAAATACGGAAATGGACAGGTCTCCTATATGGCACTGTATACAGCTTCATGAAATAGTGCCAAAAATATTCATTGGGGGTATTGGTTTACTCAGAAGACTTAGCAGAGCATAATTTTGGGGCTTTCATCATAGTGGCACATATCAAATATACAAAATGCCTAGCAATAATGTAATACGTATGTAAAAAATGCCAAAAATATTTTACCACAAACTTTGACAAATATTGATGAAAAAATGGGGGCATGTTAAGGCACAATATGCACCATAAGAGATACCTTGGAATGTCTACTTTTACAAATGGTAGGCCTTTGTGTTTTGTTTTTTTTAACAATCAAACTGCTATAATACCCCAAATTGAAACATAGGCCCATCAAATCCATCTCTACATATTCTACTGTAAATACTGAACTAGACAGGTCTCCTGTATGGCACTGTAGCTTCACAACATAGTGCCAAAGACATACAATGGGGGTATCGATGTACTCTGCAGATGTAGCTGAACATAAAATAAAGTTTTGTACAGGAATAGCACACACCAACTTTTCAAAATACATATGAGAAGATCTTGGTTATAAGTTTGTGAGTAAAAACCAAAAAAAATAAAATTTTACTCCAATATTTAGCAGAGATTGGCGGTGAAATGGCTACGTAAAAGTGTCAAAATACCGTTAGGTAAATATCCTGTGTTGTCTACTTTATATAAATATATCATTTTGTGTGGCAATTTTGTGTCTTTTATGGCTATTAAGCTTACAAGACAAACATACCAAATTCTAAAATTGCTCCACATTAGAAGTTTATTTTACTCCTTGTGTTTTGTGACCTGTAACTACCAAAAAAAAAAAACCTTAAAGGGACACTATAGTCACCAGAACAATTATAGCTTATTGAATTTGTTGTGGTGAGTAGAAAATGCAGTGTTTACATTACAGCCTAGTGATAACCTCACTGGCCACTCCTCAGATAGCTGTTAGAGATCCTTCCTGGGTCATGGCTGCCTAAAATGCTTCCAAACATGCAGTATCTCCTCCCTCTGCATGCAGACAATGAACTTTCCTCATAGAGATTAATTGATTCAATTCATTTCTATGAGGAGATGCTGATTGGCGAGGGATGTGTTTGAATCATGCTGGCTCTGTCCCTGATCTGCCTCTTTGTCAGTCTTAGCCAATCCTATGGGGAAGCATTGTGATTGGATCAGACTACCACTTCTGATGATGTCAGCAGACTGCTTGGTTTTCTGAGTCTAACAGCATGCAGAGTTACAGCTTCAGGCTTGAATACAGTAAGATTTTTACTATATTTATGGAGGCATGAGGGGCCCAGGGGGGCAAGATGGTGGTGTTAATACCATAGGGTCAGGAATACATGTTTGTGTTCCTGAACCTATAGTGATCCTTTAAAATCCTAAACACATTATAAATTCTGTAAATCAAAACAACTAAATTAATTTTTTAATTTCTTTCCTTAAAGGAACACTATAGTCACCTAAATTACTTTAGCTAAATAAAGCAGTTTTAGTGTATAGATCATTCCCCTGCACTGCTCAATTCACTGTCATTTAGGAGGTAAATCACTTTGTTTCTGTTTATGCAGCCCTAGCCACACCTCGCCTGGCTATGATTGACAGAGCCTGCATGAAAAAAAAAACTGGTTTCACTTTCAAACAGATGTAATTTACCTTAAATAATTGTATCTCAATCTCTAAATTGAACTTTAGTCAATAGCAAGCTATTAACATAGCAGGGGATAAGAAAATCTTAATTAAACAAAACTTGCAATAAAGAAAGCCTAAATAGGGCTCTCTTTACAGGAAGTGTTTATGGAAGGCTGTGCAAGTCACATGCAGGGAGGTGTGACTAGGGTTCATAAACAAAAGGGATTTAACTCCTAAATGGCAGAGGATTGAGCAGTGAGGCTGCAGGGGCATGTTCTATACACCAAAACTGCTTCATTAAAGGACCACTCTAGGCACCCAGACCACTTCAGCTTAATGGGGTGGTCTGGGTGCCTGGTCCAGCTAGGGTTAACCCATTTTTTCATAAACATAGCAGTTTCAGAGAAACTGCTATGTTTATGAATGGGTTAAGCCTTCCCCTATTTCCTCTAGCGGCTGTCTCATCACAGTGAGAGCACTCCAGCGTCCATAGGAAAGCATTATGAATGCTTTCCTATGTGACCGGCTGAATGCGCGCTCAGCTCTTGCCGCGCGTGCGCATTCAGCCAATGGGGAGGAAGGGAGGAGAATCGGAGGAGGAGAGCTCTCCGCCCAGCGCTGGAAAAAGGTAAGTTTTAACCCCTTTCCCATTTCCAGAGCCGGGCGGGAGGGGGACCCTGAGGGTGGGGGCACCCTCAGGGCACTATAGTGCCAGGAAAACGAGTATGTTTTCCTGGCACTATAGTAGTCCTTTAAGCTAAAGTTGTTGTGACTATAGTGTCCCTTTAACCTGCACTAATTATGCACACATTATTATTGCAAAAACTGTAAAAAAACAGGGGGGCGGGACCTGACCGCCGACGGGATCAGATGTGCTCTGTCTGAGCTCCCGCTTCAGGGCCTGAAAATCGGAGCTAACTGGAGGACAACCGCAACCATCAACCAACACCGGTGACCACACCCTGTGGACCGGGGGGGTCATCACGGTTTACATGGGCAACTAAATCCGCACCAATCTGGGCCCAAACAACCGCGGAAGACTCACAGGGCAACACTCCACAAGATGGCCGCCGCACGCCAGTCATGTGCGCTATATAACAGCATGATTGAGCTGATCGCGGGGGACACCACCCAGCACCACCAGACCACCATGACAGCCTGCACTAGGGCTATGTTGGCGGACTACACTGGGCAAATCAAGGTACTGGCTGCGGGCATCAATTGGAGACAACTGGGGCGTACAAAGAGCGGGACCCCACTGGAGAGTAGACCCACAGGGGCCACGAGACCCTAGAGCTGCCAGCTCCGATAAGACAGACCAGAGTGGCCGAAATACCAAGCCACCCACCCTGCACCCAGCCAGAAACAGCCCACCCCAACAGCCCAGACCTGAGACTCCACAATTACCGCCACAAACCAACAAGACAGCACAGGAAAACGCCACTGCACCACCGGAGCACAAGAGGCACCTACCAAGCACCGGAATGAGATGACACCCCAGACTGGGAACCCAGAGACTGCAACCCGTGATCTCCACAGATACAGTTTTATCTTATACCTGGACTTTTTAACAGTACTGGTAGCTTGTTTACCACACTATTCAGCAAACAACACTTCTGTTGCCCCATGGGCAGACCACAGCGCATGCACTCACATCATAGGCGTGCGCAGCCTATTGCATTAGGGTGTGCACCCTAAAGCACAAGCACACGCCACGTATATATATATGTATGTATGTATGTATGTATATATATGTGTGTATATATATATATACATACACATATATACACACATACACACACTGCTGTGTGTGTGTGTGTGTGCTGTGTGAGGGTGCTGTTAGTGTGATGTGTGTGTGACGGTGCTGGTAGAGTGCTATGTGGGTGAGGGTGTTTGTGTGTGTGTGCGTGCTTGTGAGGATGCTGTTAATGTACTGTGTGTGAGGGTGCTGTTTGTGTGTGTGTGTGTGTGTGTGTGTGTGTGCGCTTGTGAGGGTGCTGTTAATGAACTGTGTGTGAGGGTGCTGTTTGTGTGTGAGGGTACTGGTAGTGTGCTGTGTGTGTGTTTGTTAGGGACCTGTTTGTGAGGGTACTGTTAGTGTGCTGTGTGTATGTGAGGGTGCTGTTTGTGTGCTGTGTGTGAGGGTGCTGTGTGTGTTTGTGAGTGCTGTATGTGTGTGTGGGTGCTGTATGTGTGTTGGTGCTGTGTATGTCTGTGGGTGCTGTGTATGTGGGTGCTGTATGTGTGTGGGTGCTGTGTATGTCGGTGGGTGCTGTGTATGGGTGCTGTATGTCTGTGGGTGCTGTATGTCTGTGGGTGCTGTATGTGTGTGGGTGCTGTGTATGTGTGTGGGTGCTGTGTATGTGTGTGGGTGCTGTGTGTGTGTGTGGGTGCTGTATGTGTGTGGTGTTGTATGTGTGTGGGTGCTGTATGTGTGTGGGTGCTGTGTATGTCTGTGGGTGCTGTGTATGTGTGTGGGTGCTGTATGGCTGTATGGGTGCTGTGTATGTGTGTGTGGGTGCTGTGTATGTCTGTGGGTGTATGTCTGTGGTTGCTGTATGTGTGGGTGCTGTGTATGTCTGTGGGTGCTGTGTATGTGTGTGGGTGCTGTGTATGTGTGTGGGTGCTGTATGTGTGTGAGTGTGTGTATGTGTGGGTGCTGTA